GGGTAAACCCCTTGTAGTTATTGGTATATATCAGCTTGAACCTCGTTCAGTTATCAAGAAAAAAACTGAACTGTCAGAGTGGCAATGAAGGGGAGGGCAGGAAAACAAGATGTACCTTTTAAAGGTACTGTGTACCTTTTAAAAGTATAACATACCTTAATGCCAGTGTTTCATCACAGGCACGTTAGAGCAGCTGACTCGTCAAGTAACTGACTGTTACCTTGTCTTAACAACATTCCTTCCATCTTACAATCAAATCCCAGAGCTCTCAGAATACCAAGCACTTATCCAAGCTTCCGTAAATGCTTGGTGCTCATCAGTCTCAGGGGATACTCTGCTCCCGAGTTTAGACACTGCAGTACAGAGCCCACCTTGCAGGGTTAGTGCTGTCCAAGGGTGACTTACTTCAGAATTGACTAGGTCAGAGAAAGTCTAGTCCTATAGCCAACAATGGCCAAAAGCAGGTGTCTAATGAATATTATAGGAAGAGTCCACTTACAGTGCTACTTACCAGAAAACTCTCCATCATCCAATAGCTTACAGATTTAGGAATTCTTGGGGTAAAGATGTCAGCTTTCAGAATATTTTCATGTGAATTCATCTGTTCTACCATAGAACAAACTTTTAGCACTATAGTGTGCAGCAGCAAACAAAATTTCCCAAATGGGCTCATCTATCTTCTGCCTTTGTTCAGTCTGTGACTTTTGTGCTGTAAGTCTACAAGTTGTATCATAAGAGTTAGGAGACTCCTTAACTGCAGTATACTTTGAGACAGGTATGGCATTGCTACCCAGTAGGTCCCATCCTAGGTAACATTTTGTTTTTGCAACTCACTGTTAAACTGGCTTTGTTAAATTATGTAAGATAGCTGACTGTTACATACTCATTCTGAATATGTATATTTGAAGAATGTTAGAATTCTTCTTTTTTAAAATACATGAAGTAGCTGGAATCCCAGGACCTATGAATTCTACTCAAGTAGCTCCATCTTATTCTTAACCTGGTAATTTAAGCCTAGAATCACATGTGTAGTGGCCTATCCTCTATTTCTTTCAGTTGCATATCCCAAGTTTTTCACACAGCAATCTTGCAGACCTTTGTTACATTAAATGTTAGTAGTCGGATGTGTTAATTTTAAATAATAGCAAAGCTTCTCTAAAAGACCCCTTGGGCTTCTTTTGATCCCAGTAGTTACTGAATAGGGAGACAGGGAATTAGCCAATTGAGGATGTATCTGTTAATTTTTTTTAAGAGGGAAAATATTTTTGAGAAAAGTGATGACTGTTTTTTACGTACAGCAGGGAAATGCAAGTTTTACTGCACTGTAACTTTTGTATGGTGCTTTAAGTCAGTTGAAAGAAAACAGAATGGTGTAAAGACAAAACCAGAAGATGTTACATATTATCTATATCTCCACGACTGGGTTTTTTATTAATGCTCAGTAAAAGACTATTTGTAGCTGAATTAGAATTGAGATATCAAATGAAAGTGAGAAAATGAGTGATCACAAAAATATGTAGAGGAAATGAAGAGCCCTAACCTCTGTGTAAAATAAAGGCTTTAGTAACCAGGTAATACAGACTTACTTGCACTGTTACAGTTCATTAAGCTATTTTATTAATGTAGTGAACTGGAATTTCAAAAGTAGATTAATCGAAAAGCACCTCTCAAATTAGATATGTCTGTGATCTTATTTTTTGTTGCCTGTTTCTTCCTTCTTCCCTTACTCCCACCCTGCAGTCCTTAGATGACCTTTCAAATGTCCCTTCTGATGAGACAGTTCAACTACATGCATACATCTCAGATACTGGTAAGTGAATCTGTTATGATGGCTGCTTACTTGTTTTCCACCATTTGTTTTGAGTTTAATATTGTAGGCCCTTGAAATCCTACTCCTTTCATTTTTTTACCTCATAAAACATTTGAATTCATATTTCCCATGAAGTCCATGCAATGGAAAGCCTTACAGAATTGGTGCTGTAAGTTATAAACTACATATCTGAACTTAAACAACAAAAAACATATCACATTTTATGGTGGTAGTATTTTTTCCTGTCGCTGGAGAGTCATTCATTAAACTTAATATTGAGTAGCATTTGTTTTAACAATTATTTAAAGAACAAATTCTGTAAGCCATCTCTCTTTCTAGCCACAAAATTCCAACTCTTCACTGTTTACTTCTCTTACTATATTCCTCTTTTTTGTGTGCTTCTGTATTGACTTGGCTTAACTTAAGGTAGTGACTTAAGTCTTTACAATGGTGACATATTTGGCTATCTTTTAAAAAAATCAGCATCTGTGGAGCCAGGGATTCCCAGCTCCATTCTTGGGTCATTCTTTTGGCAGCTTACTGACTGCCTGCTCTTTTCTCTTGGAGTTCAGCACTTAACATTCTCCTCCTGGAGTAGATGGCAAAAAAAAAATGGTCTGTGCCCACTGTGCACCTTGCCAGTGAACAACTGATATGTTGTCAGCTGCTCTCTCATCCTCAAGGTGCTCACTGGCTGATTAAACTTCAGCATAATACTTGAGGGAGGTCAAGGCTGGATATCCAACAGAGGCTGGAGCTGATGATTTTTCAGTAAAAGTGTATTCTATGGAGTGTGGGTGCATTGAGAAATTCACAGAACTTAATTTAAAAGTATTTTCATCTAGCCACTGGAAAATTGTTTACTGGGTATTGATTCAGTATTTGGAGATACAACATGTTACCAGTTTAAGCAATGTGCAGTGTAAGCAATATTGGTTCTAGGTTATTCTGTAGATGAAGTGGAAGGTTTTGAAACCAAGTACACTGGAAGGAATTCTGTGATGAAGGAATGTCCAAAAGAACTTAAATGTTCAGTAGAAAACAAAAAGATGTTTATTTCTACTTAAGATAACTATCTGTTCTTTTAATTTATAAATTGACTTCTCAAAAAAATGTATGTGTACGCAGACAGGATACATTTTATATATATATATCTAAAGAGTATGTGTGTGTGTTTATGTAGTTTCCGTTGACTTAGTGTGGGAGTTATTTTTTTATCTTAGTTTTTAACAAACTGCTAACAATAAAACATGCTTACAGCTTGCTGGCACTGTGCTTCAGATTTACAGAGCTTTTTGATCGACCAAGTTTTTTGCAATATGATTAGAGTACTTTGCAGACTGGAATTTTTTTTCTCATTTCACAGTTGTCTTTAACCCATATCTTAAGTTCTTTATTTCAAAATTATTTTTTAAAGACCTATTCACTAATCTTAATTGTTGAAACCTTTTCAATTTCTTTTTTCATGATTTGCATGTCAGTAAAAGTTGGCTAAGGCTGCTTAATCTCTACATTTAAGTTGGCATAGTAAGTTTCTGAGGGTATCGTCTGTATAGTGTTTTGGATAAAGGAATGGCTTACTCTTCTGTTTGCATGTCCATTTTTGTCTCTCAGGTCTGTCATTCCAGACATTTCTTCACTTCATGTTTGTGTCCTTTCGTCTTCCTTCTTTCTGTTTGTTCCTTTTTTGTTTTTGTTTTTAAACTACTAGTCTATGCTGACTGTGACCCATATGCTGTGGCAGGAGTGTGCAATGACCACGGCAAGACCTACGCGCTGTATGCGATCACGGTCCATCGGCGAAGCCCAAACAGTGAAGAGACTTGGAAGACATATCGACGCTACAGCGACTTCCATGACTTTCACATGAGGATCACTGAGCAGGTCATTAATCTCCAAAAAATCTTTTAAGTTTTCTTTGAAAGGTGCTTGTTCTGTGTGATGGTATGGCATGAGGATTGGCGCTCTCAGAGTATCTCAACATATGGAGTTACATCACTACATTGTTTCCTGTTGAAGTGTGCTTTTTTTTTTTACTGTTTATAGCATACGTTATTTTTACTGAGCATGTTATAGGTACACATTTATATAATTGAATATTTGATGGCTGTATAGTTGCTCTAACAAAAGTAAATGGAACTTAGAAAGCTTTCCACCATGCCCTGCTTTGCTTAGTTTGACTTCCACATGTTTGTGTTGAAGTGCTGTTTGTCTCAAACAGTGGGTTATTTCATTTGTTCTATTTATCACACATTACGAAATAAAAACTGAGCTTGGAAAACAGGTATTTAAGTTTTAAGTGAAATATTAAGGATCAGTGAGGTCTCAAAAGGTACAGCTGTTAGCAGTTCGGCGTACTGCTAGACAATCTACCTTTTATTGCTGTACTTGTATTCTCAGACTCTTAAACTTCCTAAAATGAAAGAAGGAAAACATCGTGTTGAATATTTGTATTAATTAGAAACAAACTATGACTTTCATTTGAATTTCTGATTACCTCAGCATATCATAAATAAACTTGAAATACCAAATTTTGTACTCCAAATTTATTTTTTTCCACTCAAATTATTTTATTAAATTCACCATTTTGAAGAATCCCTAACCTATTGGAAAAGGTATGGGTTCTCTCACCTCACAGTGAGTTAATGCTCTGCTGATAGGTTAGTTTTAAACAACTATCCCATATCAGTAAATGACTAGAAAAAAATGGCAGAAGCAAAAATTTTCAGAATGAGAGCTCAGAAGTCTTTTTGCTACATCCAAGTTCTTTGAATGTACAGAAAATGGAAACATTGCAAAATGGAAGGATTGCAAAAAGTAAAGGATTTCCTGTGCTTAATGATAGCATCTCAGATGCTCCCAAGTTTTGCTTTGTTTGGACAATAAAATAAACATTCCTGGGGGGTTTGTGGGCACGGGCATGTCACTAATACACTGAACACAGTTCTTGTTTGTTTTTCAGAGAAAATAGTGACTTGATCCAAGATGGAATTGAGGTTAGCTGTCTGTAGGATCTGTATGAGCTTTTTTCCTTAAAGTACTTGTCATGGCTTAGGCCCAGCTGGCAACTGAGCACCATGCAGCTGCTTATACCCTGCTCTCCCACTGTCCCTCCATGGAATGGTAGGGAGAATTGGGAGAAAAAGGCAAAACCCTGTGGGTCAAGATAAGCAGAATTTCATAGAACAGCACAAGGAGAGAAGTAACCACAGTAACAGCACCTATTAATGAAATATGTAAAACGAATGATGTAAAATGCAGCACTCGCCAAACCACTTGGCCCTTCTGTTGAGCTCAAATCTCATGTGCTTCCCAGACCAGCCCTCCTCTTATATAGTGAGCATGACATCAGTATGGGATCAAATACCCCATTGGCTCATTTGGTTTGGCTGTCCAGGAGTGGCCTCTCCCAGCTTTTGCTGAAAATTAAACTTATCCAAGTGTTTGGCTAGGATGCCAGGAACATGGCACAGGCCTGAATAGAGTCACAGCAGCTTCTTTACTCAGTGATGTAATAAATATAATTTGAAGTAGCTATCTGTATTTAAAATAGAGGCTGTTCTTTGTTTACATTGCTTCTGTTTAGATGCAAGTATCCAAATAAAAACTAGGCCATCTTCTGTTCAGGTTTTTTCCCATGTGACCTATTTGCAAGGGAATAGGATTTGTAAAGTTGGAAATAGTTAATCTTTGGTGCTTCTTCAGGCCATCAGTCTCTCATTTGATCTAATTTTCTGTGTGGTCTTCAGAGAGAAAAGAGCGCAACCCTTTTCCAAGCTGTTTCTTAATGTACAGATACTATACCTTTCTTTCTTCACCTTCTTAGGAATACTATTTCTTACTTACAGGCAGTCTGGATTCTCTATGTGGATAATCCTAATTCTTTTCAGTTTTATTCTTACCATTTTCTTTATTTTTATACATTGTAGCAGATAGGTTCAGCCGTTTTAAATGTTGAGACCTCTTGTTTCTTTACTGCTTCCCTAGAAGACCAGTTCTTTCTGTAAAACTGGAATAGTGAAAGACATGTCCATCAGTCCCGGTCACTGTCATTACCTGGCAGGAGGCATACGTGATGGCATATCAAGTGTGGTATGATAACCTATGTGTGAAGTGAGTGCTGCCAACCACTCCAAGTATGAAGACTTTATCATTTCCTTAGTAGGTTTGATCAGGAGAGGAAAGAGATGCTTTAGAAAGATTTGCAAAGTCTCTTGACGACGTGTCGTAACCCAACTAACTTCTGTACAAACAGTAATGATAAATCTTGAGCCTAAACCTTTTACAGCAAGTGTGATGACAGGAGTAATTTTCACACTAGACTGGTTTGTATTTTGAAAATGAATATTGTGTGTGTTCAGAAATCAAATTTTGCCCTTAACAGTCTCCTGAGAATTCTTGTGCATTTGTTCTTGGTGGCCTATCTTTCATTTTGGCTTTTGCAAGGAATCTCAGTCCTAGATGCAAAAATTGTTTAGTGTGTTACACGGTAATAAATGAATTTCATGCCCTCTATACGTTCTGAGTTTCTATAGTGGTTTGAAACATTTTTTGAAAACAGAACAAAAAAAATCTTCTTTTTTCTAGTTTGAAAACCTTGCAAATATACTGAAGCTTCCTGGCAAAAAGACATTCAACAATATGGACAGAGAATTTTTGGAAAAAAGGAAAAAAGATTTAAATGCCTATTTGCAGGTAAGCTGTTAATGGGTTGGGTGTTTTGGTTTTGTGGTTTTTTTTTGTCGTTTTTTTGTTTTTTGGTTGGTTGGTTTCTTCTGTGCTGCTGTGTAAGAATTAGAGTGGAACCTGCTCTGGTGGTGTAGCAGCACTGCACAGCTCCTCCATCAGATCAGCCCAACTAGAGCAATTCAGTTGTCTACTTCATAAGGACTTTCTAGTCATCTAGCACTAAAATGCTAACCAAATCAATTGACATGTTAACAATAAGTAATGGAAAAAGAAGAAAACATTGTGAAATCTTAACTCTGTTTAGAGTGCTGATATTTTTTGCTATGTGAGATATATGCCCTGTTTTTAATAGAAGGTTTTTTAGTCAGCTATTTTTTTTTTTTTCTTGGAGTTCTAGAAGCAGTTAGACTGGTTATTTTTGAGCGTTAGAGATCTTTTTCTGTGAGATTCTATAATTAATATACTAGTTAAAATTATGGGAATTAGCAAGAAGCATGTTGTTTCCATCTTGAGAATAGTGTAATATTGGAATAAAATCTAGGGAATGACTGAGAAAATACATTGCAAGATGTGTCTTTATACATGCTAAATTTTAACTAAATTGAATGGTACGGCCTTTTTCATTATTTATTAAAGAGAACATTTTAAAAATTTTTTTCTCAGCTCCTGTTAAATCCTGAAATGATGAAGGCTTCTCCAGCTTTAGCCCATTACGTTTATGACTTCCTTGAGAATAAAGCCTACAGCAAAGGGAAGGGGGATTTTGCAAGGAAGGTAAGAAAGTTTTTCACTGTCAAGGGAACTTTTAGATTTTAGAACGTTCATTAGCGCAATGATTGCATTAAACAGATGTTGAACTGATGTTAAACAGCTATAAAACATTTTCAAAACACCTCGCATGTGAGTTGCTTTAATACTTTGAGTGGCCAAATACCTGAGGACATAGAGAATCAAAAATTTGCCATTTTTATAACAGGTAAATTTATGTGTATGACAAAACCAGGAATTTTCAGATCAAGTGCAGTGTTTTACACAAAGACCACTACAAAAGTGTGTTCATTAGAAGTTGTTTTTTTCCAGGCATCTGATTTTTTTTTTTTTTGTCGTCTTATTCCTTCTGATTTCTTTTTCCAGTTCTTTATTCTGTATTTGCTACTGTTACCATGCTCTCCACTCTTCAGCCCAAAAGATGAAATGCGTTTTCCTTCTAAAGCAGCTGTTGCATATCTAGCTGTTTAGCCATTCAGAGTCATTGGTCCAACTCAGTGCTCTGAGTCATGCATCGTTTTCATTGAGCCACCAGAACTTGCTTTAGACAAGTCGTTCTTGGTTCAGTTAGCCAGCTAATGTGAACATCTACTTTGCAAATATAGCTATTTCTAAACTTTCAGTGATCTTGATAGAAAAAGCACTTGCAACTGTATTGTCACTTCAAGTTGTTCCGCCTATATTTCTTAAATATTTGAGTGAAATAGTTAAATATTTGTCAAGGTTTATGTAATGACTAAGGTTTGATTCCAGCTTATCAGGTTCTTTATGTTTTAATGGAAACACACAAGTGCCTCTGTTTGGGCTGAATTTAGAGTATATACTGAAAGCAAAATAGTTTCTGTGCAAATACTTTTGTTTTTAATTATGCTTGCCATTATACTAAAGCATATTACACCAGTGCTATCTGGAAGAGGCATATTTTGAAGATAAAGAGTTGAAAGTAGAAATGAAACATCTGGAAGTAGGAAACTTGGAAGGGAGAAATGGCATTGAGTGGACAAGAAAAGGAAAATAATTTAAGCTAAGAAAAGCTGAAGAATGTGAAATGGAAATGATTCGGGGAAAAAGATCTATTGAAAGATGTAAATAGTTACAGTTGGACTGTAAGAATGGGAAAGATAAATGAGAGTGAAGCCAAAACTTTATTCTGCATTCTGTAATGAATTTAAGCAATTCGGGTTGTTCCATATGTTATTGTTCTCTGGAGCAGTGCGATACTTCTCATAGTGTGTTAATATACTGGTGTCCTCATAGATTATGCAATTCTGGTTAAACATCTTCCCCTTCAGATGGACACATTTGTAAACCCACTGCGTAACTCTATGAGAAATGTATCAAATGCAGTCAAGTCTCTCCCTGACAGCCTGGCAGAGGGAATGACTAAAATGTCAGACAACATGGGTAAAATGTCAGAGAGACTGGGACAAGACATAAAGCAATCATTTTTCAAGGTAAGAAAATATTTTATAAGTCTTAGCTTATCTCCTATTAATTCACTATCAGCTCACTTAAATTTATGGTGTATACTGTAATGAAGAGTCAAGTCATTAGAAAGGAAAGCAGTCTGGTTTGTGCCTATGCCCTTTTAATAAGGGCATAGATTCAGCAGTGGTTATGCTACAAATGTGGAATTGTCTTTGCTATATTTAGTAACACATTTTAAGATGACATCTACAGACTATTAACAGCCATCCTTCTTCACTTAATTCAGTGCAGCCACTTGAAAGATTCATTGGCATTCTTATTTACCACCCATTCTCCCAAAGCTAGTTTGTTGCCTCTGATGCTCTCATCAGGAAAAGAAAACCAAATAACAAACAAACAAAAACATATTATGAAACTAAAAATAAGGAGATAACTTCTTTTCTGCTTCTTCCTTGCCGAATTCTGTTTTTAATTAAATCTTCTTTCTGTCTTTCCTGACATCTTTCCTTATCTTTTATATTTCTAAAATGTAATACCTTAGCGGTGGGGAATGGTAGCATGGCATGCTATCTAGAAGTCCTATAAAAGTAGTAGTCTTCCTAACATGTCCATCTTGCCTTCCTTTCCCTTGCCTTCCTCTCTCTTTGTGTATCTGTAAGGTCTGTCATCAGGCATTGTTCTATTTATGTGTTACCAGAACAATTACAGATGTAGAACAGCAAGCAAGATAAGCTAACCCTTAAGCTATGAGAGAGAGTTGTAAATCTGTGGTGTGAGGGCTGGGCTTTAGGGGCAGGAGGTGTGTGTGTTCTGTTTTTTTTCATTACTTGTGAGATAAAATTATTGTCTCTGGACTTTCTCATTTCTGATAACTTCACTTGTGCGTGACTAACAATATATCTGCAATTACACTCACTGTGACATCTGTGACCAGGGAGGACTTAAGATTAAGAGGAAATACCAGAAGAGATAGCAGTCTTATATGAATTTCTGGGTGTTTTTCAGTTGAAGCATTAGGCACTTGAGAAAATGTGGGTTGTTTTAAAGGTGTTGGTAGCTTTGATAGCTGCAGAAGAATAGCTACAGACATGATGTGCTGGAAGATGAAAAGTCTACTGTATATTTATCTGCAGTAGTATGCAGCTGTCTTTTGACCAAATGTTTGATTTTAATAGCCAAATTTATTATTAAATTGATTGGATTTATTGGCATTTAAAAAATATTTTTTACTACTTTTTTCATTGTAGGTGCCTCCTTTGATCCAAAAAACCTATTCAGATCCTGACCATTGCCGCGTTGCAGCACCAATTGATGACAATGTGAGTCTGACGCTTGTCCATCCAAAGTTCACTGCTCTAACACCAAATTAATGAATTACTTATTTTAGGTTAAGCTACATATTTATTTGTTTCTGATATTGTATCAGACACTTACAAACAGTTCTTAATGCTTAAGTTAAGAACTGTCTTAAATGCTACAGCTTCTGTGCTCTGGTGGCGGTTTGTTTGTTTGTTTTTTTTTTTTTCCCCCCTTCCTCCTTCCAATTACTGTCCATTCAAAGAGAGCATGGGACCAGACTGTTAGCATAATTTTCATTGGTGTTTTATGGATTCTGATTTCTGGTGTGACCTTTTAGGGGGGCACCTCTTTAATGGATCAGAAGTAGTGTTTGCAATGTTTTTATGAAAAAGTCTTCAGAATGTTTTCCTAAATGATAAACTTCTGGTATGTAGATACCCAAAATGTATATAGTAGTAATATTAGAAATTAGAAAGTGAAGTTTAAATCTCTGGATGTTATCATACATTATGGTATTTTGCTATTGTTTTGATTAAAATATTGATCATATATGTGAAAACAATTAGAGAATACCTTTTAATTCTAAGTAGAACAGAAAAGCCATGAGATTACCAGTGATTATATACAATTTGCTATGGTCACAAATCTGCACCTGTTCTGCCCTTCTCATTTTGGATTTTCTGATCACATCAAAGCATTCCAGTTTGTCTTCCTGTGCATAAAAGCTATTATGGTTTGGTAGATGTATTTGTACTTAAATAACATAGGCTTGAGTACTTCTGAGTTTTCTCTTTCCCCATTATTTTTCACGACATCAGGCTGTATCTGCAAATTTGTAATTACAAATTATCTTTGATACTCTTGAGGCTGCTGTTTTGCACAGGGGAAACTAATATCTTTCAAGGATATGAGCTGCTTCTCTGCAAATATTTCCTTGATGTTCTGTAAAATTAATAGAAGCCACAAGTCTTGATAGCATCTAAGTTAACATCCCAAGTGTTTCTTGTTTCAAGTGTTTTAAAACGTTTCAGCTCAATGTTAAGATACACTGTTCACAACTTACAGTCACTCAATCAGACAAAAAGTATAGTAGTTTCAATAAACCTTTAAGTAGAGAAGCAGTATGGTGAAAATGAGACATGGATCTATAGAATCTCCAGAAGGATTATAAATCTGCTGTGTTCCAGTTGTATATAAGGATGTACTAGTGTATTGCACTAAAAAAAAGGGACATAGAGCTGTGAGATGTTACTACATCTCACAGGATTAACAATAATAATGCAAACTGCAACTCTTCCAGGTAGATGTGTAACGTTTCTAATGCAAAACAGAATTCTGGATGTTATGCTTAGAATGTAAAAATCCTAGTTTAAAAAAACAAAAGAAATCACCACAGGGGGAGAGAGAAAACAAAAACAAAAAAACAGAGTGCATTCAGTTTTTAAATAAATACTGCTGAGGATATAATAATATTTTAATTTTTATCTTGCTATTCTATGAACTTCTAATAATCAGTAAAAGTATAAACTCTATTTGGTATGTTTGAGATAAATATTTGTGGTCTCTTGTGCAATTAGAACTGCAAATTATAACTAGCTCCAAATATTATCTTTTTACGCAATAGCTTAACAATATCTAGGCTTGTATTTTGGCATATGAGCAAGCCATGAGAAGCTGTTGTTGTTGTTTCTATAAGAAACAATAACTAAGATGAAAATCTAATGCTTTCATACTGCAGAATTTAGTACACTCTGTAAAATTTTAGTATTGGAAAAAATGTTGACAGTTACTGCAAGCGTACACCATCCGTCTTTAAAAGCTTTTTGCATAATTACTGAATCCTGTTCCATAAAAGTTGTTTGTTTTTTTTTTTTTTGTAAGCCAAGCTTTGCAACGTCTATTACATACTACGATGATGATGCTTTTCTTAGTCCACAAGCATAAAAATGCTTAATAGCCACATAGGTTAGAACAGTAGCTAAATAAAAGCCAGTTCATAACAGTGAGGTGTCATTGTTCTTAGAAGGTTCTGAATTTGGTGCAGTGCATCTATAAGAAAAATGGCAAAGAAAAGCTCCTTCCAGAGTTTTCTTGTTAGGCAGTTGGAAGCATAGCCACCAAAGCAAGAGGTTGGGGACTAGCACTCCCTTTAAAAAATTTTTACTTGTATTAACTTTGTTCAACTCTGGTGAGATAATGATTTGGTTTTGTCTTACTTCAGAAATTCTCCAGATTTAAGCATAGTTTATTTTTCAGTCTTTCTTTGCTATTAGTGATGTTATAGAAGATTTAGAGAAGGTTTCATATTACAGTAAAACAGAGCGAAGTGTTTCTGTTGTTGTTCTCCTTATACTGAAGCATTTGTCCTGTGAAGTAGCTACTAAAACTAGCTTTCTTGAACTGACATAAAAGTTTACTGATTATGCTTTTACTTGCTTGATCCAGGTGGATGACAATATTCCACTGAGAGTAATGCTCCTCCTTATGGATGAAGTCTTTGATTTAAAGGAAAGAAATCAATGGTTAAGACGAAATATAAAAAATCTTCTTCAGCAACTGATTAGAGCAACATACGGTGACACAATTAATAGGTACTGCTTTTCTTATCTAGAGTGTTTGTGTGAGTGAGACAATGTAGACTGTCTATAAATAATTTTTGATATTACTAAATGATTGTGGTTTAGATGTGCATGCATTCCCTTTTGAAGAGGATCAGTAAACCCAGTGCAGATGTGGTACACAGAGGAAATAAACACAAAACATTGCTGAAAGACAAGTTCCAGTAACTTATGTGGCAGAGAATTTCCAAAAGAGCTTTCATTTCTCAACAACAGTTCACATGTCTGTCAACATAACTTAATACTGATGGAGTCTGTGCATTTTGCCCAATGTTTTACACTATACTTTTTGTTGTTAATACTATTTATTACTTTCTGCACTGTTTCTGCTTACACATCTTTGATGCCATAAATTATAACACTGGCAGTGGCAAATTATGTGAGCTGTACTGAGTGGCTACATTAAGTTTTTGCTCTCACGCTTGAGAAGATGGAAAAAGGGGAGAAGAGAAAGGACAAGTTATTTAGTCCCTTATGCACCTTGTGTTCTCTGTAATTCACCCTTTTTCATGCAAATACAAAGCAAACTACTAGTGCTAAGTAATTTTTTCAAACTTTCCCTTCTAATAATTTGTTTCTGAAATGTAAATAAACACATAGAACAAAAAATATTTTAGAAATAGGATTGACACTTAATATTGACTTTGGATTAGTGCCATGAATAAAAAGCTTAATTTCTGGCAGATGAGAGATGGTTTCCTGTTACTTTTTTAGGACATTCCTCACTGTATCATCCTTTTTTACCTTTCACAAGTATATTTTTGATGTTTTTATCATCACTGTTAAACTTATAGAATGATCCAGCAATGTAATAATGATAGCACTGAGTGTTTTTCAAATAATTCTTTCTGGCCAGGTGACAGTTATCTTGACACCCATGCTTTCAAAAACATACTGCCCTGTTGAGCAATTCCAAATACTTTTTTGCTGTTTTCAGATTGTAGTACTAGATGAGTTTGTGCACAGGCTGCTGCTTTCTTATTGCAGGGATGTGTGCAGAATTGTTATAATTCTGGATTTGGAGCTATTCCAGATAATCGCAGCTTCCTGTGATGTCCTGGAGACTCTTAGGGTTTAATGGCATTCTGCAGCAAAATTGTTTTCCCGTGTCTTAGAAATCTAAAATCAAATTATGTTTGGAGAAACAGTCCTGCATTATGGTGATACACAGATGTGTGTACAATTTCTGTAAACATACTAGATTTGTTTAACGAGCTGTGTATATGTGTTGAGGAGTGAAGGTCAAATTTTATCATCAGTCAGTATCTCCTGTTAAAGGTATGAAGTAACTGCATATGTAAGTGTAGTAATTTGGGATATTAAGTAGGTTCTTTGTTTACAGAAGCAGAACTTGAAGAGTGCTCCACAAAGAGGAGCACTCTACAAACAAAGCTTATCTAATGCTCGTGGGACATTCAACATCATATTTTTCAGCCTGCTTAGTCATTGTACATTTACTCAGAAAAAGCTTTTAGGTTTAAGAGTGATCAGTGAGCTTAGATGTTTGTCTTGAGAATTAGTGTTTGCCTTCCTAATGTGTGGTTTTATAGAACCTACTTACAGAGCTGGATAAAGCTGAAATTAGACTTTTGCTCTAGAGTGCTCCTTAAAATGCTATACTTAATTGTTCTCTCTTTTAAAAATTAAATGAGATACTTGTTGCTTTGGTTTTTAGAAAAATAGTTGATCACGTTGATTGGATGACATCTCCTGAGCAAGTGGCAGATGCGGTGAAACGCTTCAGGTGTGTCTTTATCATAGACGTTAAATACAGAGTACTTGCCAATTGATGCCTAATAGCTGTGTATCCTTCCTGTTCTTTTTATGTCAAGAAATTACTGTTACTGTACAGAATTTCAGTTGGAGCATACACTGCTTTTTATGTGTGTTGTGAGAGATAGTAATTGTCACATGAAGAAGGTTTCCGAGTTTTCTCCCCTTCCTTAAAAAGTTCTTTGTTAACCAGTCTAGAAGAGCTGGAGTACAGGTACACTTAAAAATTTCATCATACTACTGGATGTAGTGTCTTGTGTACCTTGATGAAAGCATGTGTATGCCTTGCCTTAAAAGACAATTATTAGTTAAACCCTAGCTCTAAGCTCAAGTGTTTCACATATGGGCAGCTACAACAGAGCTGAAGTCTGAGTTCAAAAATATTTAAGGCACTGTCATTCTGTTTCCTAAAAGTCTTAATGTTTTCTGCAACACTGTTGAGTGACAGCCCACGCCCCTAGACTTTTTTTAATAGGATGAAAGAGATAAAGTAGGTTTATATATTAATCACAGGGTCATACTTCAGAGTTATTTTATGATTCTTTAATAAAACAGTAAGAATGTGCATTTCTTATTCAGAAAAAGACTGTCTTTACTGTAGTAAAACACCTTTCTAGGCAGAGGTATGTTGTTTGTATTTGGCTTTATACTACACTGAAACTAGTTAATCTCAGCTTTAGTTTGTTGATAGTCTAATTCTGTCAGAGAGCTAATGAAACAATAAATGTAAGCCTATGGAGTCTCGGAGGCAATAGAGACTGGTAAAATCAAATCTTGGGTATATTTTATGTAAGAACAATGTTGTATTTCAGTGGTTTTGGTGTGTAATATTTTCTTGAAACTTTATTTCATCTAATTCTTGTCCTATTTATGGTACCTACTAATAGGTTGAGTGTATTGTACTTCTGTTTCTTTTTCACCTTTTCTTTTCCTGTTTCTAATATTTGGTGTGTCTATTAGGTTATGTGCAAATTACTTTCTTGTATTTATTTTATGAGATAGCTTTGAGGGATTAGAAAGAGCCTTTCACTTGATAAAATTTTAATGTGTTTTGACAGATTTGCTTTTGTTACAGAGATGCTTTTTGGCCCAATGGCATTTTAGCAGAGACTGTTCCACGGAGGGACAAAGCTATTAGAATGAGAACAAGAGTGGCAGGGAAGACCAAGTTACTGGAGGTAATGCCAGGTAAGTGAGTATGAGACTGAAGCCTCATAATTCTTACCATATATTGTTACTAGAATCAATGTCAGTATGCTTGTTTGTTGTTGAAGTGTTGACATAATTACAGTATTTAAATGAAAAAGTTTTAATTATTAAAGCATTGAATATTTTCACATATACTGTCACTTTGCAACTGTAATTCTCTTAGAACAAGCCTGGTATATAGTTTTATTAGAGGACTTGAGTTTGGTGCATGAAATACCTATATTGTAGTGCAGCATGATTTCATGTAAGATAACATGGTTCCACATATGCAGTGTAAAAGTAATTTTCAGAAATCCTTTCTGCTGTAAGAGAACTTCTAGTTTAGTCAGGTTGTGTACAAGAGACACACTGTTCCTTCAAATCCCAAGTTATGTAATTTGAAATAGTTAATATTCACTTTAAGTTTGTTTTTAACACAGAAGCAGAATTTAGTTTAAACTTTTGTGTAACTTTCACTTTTGTAGATGAACTGAAGCACATCATAGGCGCTGAGACGACGCGGAAGGGCATTCTTCGGGTCTTTGAAATGTTCCAGCACACGCAGCTGAATAAGAGAATAGTGTACGTGTTTCTAGAGAGATTCCTGGAAACCTTATTTCCACAAAATAAGTTCCGTGAGCTCTTCAACAAACTGCACTCACGGTCAAAGCAGATGCAGAGGTATAAGCAGAGACTACATTCTACCCAAGCACCTTCCTTGCAGAAAAGGTGACACTTCAAACCTACTAAGCTGGTGTGTGTTTGTCCAGGACTAATTACTTGGACAGATTCTCTGGGGCTTCAAACTCACATGCTGTTATTTCTGCACCAGTCTTCTAGTGTCACATGTTAGGTAATTAATGCATCTGTAAGACCTGTGGATCTTCTCATCTTCACTTGTAATTCAACCACTACCAGAAGGGTTTGCGTGTCTTAAATGATTTGTTGCGTCTTCATGCAACATTGAGAAGAAAGAATACTGGCCCAATACATGAGAATGCTGATTCCTTCCCTTCCTGAGTCGATGTTTTGCCAGCAGTGACAAGTGCCAGAGGGTTCAAGTGAAGCACAGCTGTTGTGATACAGTGGAAGAAAAGGATGTTCTGGCACTGGGGGATGGTGCAATGTGTGAGAACTGGGTGGAACTGTTCTATGTTAAGACTGTTGAGGCTCTGTAGGGCTCTTATAACATTCCTGTAAAGGCTGAGCTAACAGGAAAAGCAGTCTCTGGAATAGCAGGTTCATATGAGAGGAGAGAAATAGTTATAGCCCCATCATAAAAGTACATTTATTAAAGAAAAGTAGAAGTAATGTGGCTTTTGTGCCACAGTTTACTTCACCTTTCGTGATTTGAAAAATAACCTAACATTAGATCTAATGGGGGTTTTAGTAAAGGCAGAGGTACAGTAGAAATAAACCTTTTTTCTGTTTATTCTGTAGCTTTAAGGGCCATATCCTGCTCTTACAGCACCTGGCATACATTTTGCATGTAACTTCGGTGGAGAAGGGGTGTCATATTTATGTTCAATTGGTGTGTTTGAATATACATCGATTCACGGTTTTAGAAGGAAGGGGGTACATGTTTCAAGCAGGACAGACATCATGTTAGAAGGTGACAAAATTGCACAAAGACACAGTTTACACACAGCTCCCTACTAAAATTTGAGGCTTTTTTTTTTGGGTGTAAACTATGTGATTAGAAGATTACTTACCCTTGAGTGTGTAAGCCTCATATGGAAAAATGTTAAGAAGTAGTTGGTTCCTCACAGGTAAAGGATTTCATTAGTCATGTGCAAACATTTGGAAAATCCTGAATGCATCTCAGTGTATATATGAACATAAAAAGGAGATAAAGCGACGATATTTTTTTAAATATTTTTTTTATTTTTTGCATATTGTAAAATTTTAATAAATTTGACATCAAGGCCCCGCATCTATCTGTTGAGTTTCACTGAAGAATTTCTGTCCAATTGAAAATAAAGTAACAACTAAACAATCTTGTTTGGCCACAGCATATCACATTTTGTGTTTCCTTTTTCATAGTCTGGGTGAACAGAAAGTAATCCCATAGTGTGTTGTTTGTTTGTTTTTTTTTTTTTTTTTTTTTGTGAACACTAAACACAGGGTAAGATACAGCTATTGATCGAGGATCCCTATAGTAATTTGTGTCTTAATAGGAGCAAATGATCCTTTTATGTGAGGGAGGAGCATAGAACTTTCATGAAAGTGTTCCAAGAGAAGACAGAAGGCTCTCAAAGAACCTAGATAAATTGAAGCCTCTATATAGATCATTTTTTCTCATGGGCTCTGTTAATGCAGTGTAACCTTTTATCATACTACTTAACGAGGATCGTCTTGTACTGTTAACATTCTTATACAGTATGCATGGGCTCAAGTGCACTTTTTTTTCCTTTATTGCAGAACTAAACACTGTAAATTAAATCCCTTTCTCTTATAATCCCTAGGAAGAGAATTTGGTAAATATATAAGAGCCCCTCCCTCATCATCTCTGCAGGTTCTGTAGAAGCGTGATGGCAAAGTGCTATTGAATTTAACCAAGTTCTTGAGTTCTGTATAAAATAATCAACATAGCCAGCTCCTATTGTTTACAAGCCTGTATCTTCCTCTGATGTCAGAGTGTTCAAGCATCTGACTGATGAAAGGTTATTCAGCAATTGTTCTTGGCGATATAGTAAATGTATCATCAATCCTACCCGATCCAATTTATGTCTTTTAAACCGCTGAATTTGTTACGCAGTATGAACGTGGGAAGTTCAAACACTGTTTTGTCAAATCTGTGGAACCTTTTATCTCTCTGTGGGTACCATGAAAAATTTCAAGGGAATAGCGATCATGTGCAAATTTGGCATTATTTTTTTTGTCTGGTACATTTCTGTACAAAAATAATAACTCTAGAAATGTGAACTGAACATAATATGCCATGTTTGTTAGTCATTTTACTTAATGAATTTATTACATGTATATATACCTATACACACACATATACGTCTGTGTGCATATGTATATATGTATTGAAGTTTTGTCTTCTGTATTTAGTTACAGACTGTGGCTTCCTAATTCAGTGGTGCCTGTTGGCTCTCAAGAATCATCAGAAATGGACACTTTTTTGTTAAAGTTTTTTTATATCTTTATTTAAATGGGTTTACTGATGATTATTTAAAATACCTGTCCTGTCAATCCATGCAGCCAATTATCCTGGAAAGTCTCCAAAACTGAATGTTAATATACAGCACTTAAGTGTCCGGTTGTATCTTCTGGCCTTCAGGTGCTGTGACTGGCTGCTGAAAATTGTGCCATTGTCAACAAATGCACTTGTTTTAGCCTTAATTATTTTTAAAACAAAATGAGGAATTGAATTTTGATTCATCCTCAAGCTTGTGCTGCTGGTACTTGCTAGAACTAAACCGTAAATTTTAAGTGCTACCAGAATGTGTACCAAAATAAAAATGTATGAATTCCACAATCTAAATTTTAATTTTGTGCAATATTTTCATTTAGTGCATGTGTATTTGAATAACTGTAAGATAAATAAATTTTTAATGTTTTGAAGTCTAGGTTAAAAATGTCTTCTCAGCTGAACAATTCTGCATTCTGTTGTTACATTAGTTTATTTAAGGACTTGTTTTAAAAGTCTTATTTGTTACTCCTTTGTTCATTCCCTTGTTCTCAATGATCCTTGCTGATCTGAGCAAAGCTCATATATTACAAGGGGAAAAAATCTGAAGAGCACATCTCATGAATATAGCTGTTATAAATTACTTGTGCATATCATTGTACAGTAGTAAGTGTCAGCTGTGTGCCTAATCATTCTGTTGATGCTTTTCCCTCCCTTTCCCCCTTCCTCTCCTTTCTGTAACAAAGAATGAACATGAAACAGGCTGCCATGGTCACTTCTGCTGAATGGCAGCAGACTCTGAAATTTTTTTTTTTTTTTTTTTGGAGTTTGCCTTTATGTTCTGTCCAATAGAAAGCTAAAAAAGTTACACTAATAAAGTATTAACACGATTATTATAGAGTCTCTGTTTTTTTTTAAATAACATTTTTGCTCACAGGTATGTATGTTACTCAAATCTGGGAAAAAATCTCTAAAGATAGAAACGTTGCTATTAAGTATAACAATTCCTTGATTTTTTTTTTTTAAACATTTTGTAAACTGATTTTGCTTTCAACAAATGAATCTCTACAATAATTTTTAATCAACATTTGCAGAGAGTGCTGAATTTTAAAAGGACTTGTGCAGAAGCAGTGGGATTGTTTTGTGTCAGAGGTTTTGGAGGCTTTTTTTTTATTGTGTGGGTTTTTTTTTTTTTCTCTTTGGCCCCTTCCCCCTGAGTTTATTTTTGCAGCAGCTGGATCTACCATGGGAGCACAATTGTTGCCCTTGATATATTTTACTCCAGCTGTTTCACATTCATCAGAAAGATGTCCTGAGCTACATAGATGTTGGTTCTTGACTGTAGGGTAAAGTGTTTACCGCTTTCACTAACTTAAATACTTTTGATACAAGATATGGACACAGGACACATCTAGTTGATTGCAAGTTCTTACTTGCTGAAGCTGTTATCCTAGCATGTTTTCATGGCAAGAAATTCATGTAATTATAAACTTTAAAGTCTCTAAAATATCTGGCATTTCCTAAGTAAAGGTAATATGTCTGTGGCTTTTTTAACTCTATCACATCTGGTTTATTTTTGTTTTGATGGCTTAGTTGAATATGAGGATTGTTAGGGTTTTTGTGAAGTTCAATAGTCAGCATCACTCTGCATTGATTTACTGTCAAAATTCATGATTTGTCTCTTAAAAGGAAATTATATAATGAAAATGAGTTCACTTTTGTTATGTATTTCAAAAGAAATTAAGCTTTGTTTTCACAAAACACTTGAAACATCTATGCCACTGTAGTTTCCCACACAGACAGAAATGTGTGTGAATACTGGTGTATTCAAATACCTCAAACAACTGTTTCCCATGCCAAGTCTCTTGGAATTACTATGACATGTTGGGGTGGGGATAATCTGAATGGGTCAGTTAGATTATTTGATGTCTGGTTCAGGCAGGGCTAAGTGGAATTCTCATTTGACTTTTTCGAGTTGGAATAGTACATATTAATACTGGGGTCAGGTTTAAGTGAAGAATAAGATTATGCTGAGTTTGCTGGCAATTGAGAGCTATTGGGAGTGTGGAATGTAGTTTCCAAAAATGAACTTGCTCTTTCTTAGCAGGTTTAAAAGCGAGTCCCAAGTCATCTTTTGAGCTCAAATTTTGTTTGAGGTCTAGAAACATGCTAATTCTGAATTAAGTCAAGAGATACTGATGGAATGTTCTATTAAGTAAGGTTTAAGTAAGAGATTCTTCTTGTGACAATTGGGAATACATTTAAAACATGTATAGAAGATGGTTCTATGAGTTAGCTGATTATTGCATGCACAGAATAGCTGGACCTTGAAGTAAACTTTCACTTTTTTGTTCTTGTTCTTCAAAATAGTTGGCAAGTACTAGGGTAGGTACAAAACTTTCTTTTCAGAAGTCACTTCCAGTTATCAAGCCAAAGATTTCTTATTTTTCAGTTCGAAGGTGAAGTCTGGACGCGATTATCAAAGACAATGTTTTCCTTTTTTGTTTTCAAGAACTCCATACAAAGCATTCCTTTGTAGTCTGTTTAAAAATTGTCTTCATATCTTACATGCTCAGTTTTGTATCACTTGTGTTGATTGAAATCACTGGCTTTCCCAGTAATTTTTAACACCTTTTTTTTGCAAACAAGACCTGTTTATACCTAAGGTAAAACACAAGGGGTGTTTTGGGGAGGAAAGGATAGAAACTTCACTCCATGTTCTGCTAATAAGATAAATGCAGCCTGCAAAAGTGTGTTGTCAAAGGTTCTTTAGAGCCATTACATGGCCTGTCACAGTGAAAAGAACTTGCTGAAGTACCAGAGTGATTCCAAGCGATTCCACATAAAAACATTTGTGCTATTTCACATGCTATAGAATCCATCTTTTTTTA